TTATTCATTTCCTCTTTCAGGGCCCCTACCATCTGCATACAGGCTGTTTAATGTCTTTTTCTTGAGCTTCAGCTATGTTGGAATATTCAGGGCCTGCTGTGGTAGGGTTGCTGGGATCTAGTGGAGACATACTGTCCTGGCTGTTACTGTGTTTTTACTGTGGCATCTAGGCATCTGGAATTGGGATGATGGGGTGGTTTATAGGCCTAGGTGCTGATTTCTGGTTTTGTATTTGTTGGGTGGGTATTTTGTTCTTTGGTTTCTGTTTCCTGTCTGGATTTTAGAAGAGTATGGTAGCTGTGTGCTACCTGGTAGGGAATTGTCTTGTGAACCTGATAAGTGTGACCACTGGGGGTCCCAGTAAAATGTGTTTCTGGGTATTGGGAACTGACACTTAGAATTGGGGATAGGCCAGGGGTCTGAAGGGATTCACAGAAGGTAGGAAAGCAAAATCCTGTTCAACCAGGATCTGCTTATTTAGTGTCCTTGGAATGGGGGGAAACAGTGAACAGAGGTTACCCCAGAAAGTCTGTATAGAGTTAGGGATGGGACTGGGGATTGTAATTAGAGGAACAAAAGGAGAGGGGAAGATCTATGGCCAGCCTACCTGCTTCCCTGACAAAAGTGGCCTTTGGGTTAGCAGGGGATGCCTGCTCGGTTTATGGGTCAGCATTGAGTTGTGAGGAGGGAGGTTAGGAGGAGAAGATCTAAGGGTTCCATGGGAGATGGGGACAGAGGGCAGCAAAGACTAAAGTAGGTGTTCTGCTGCAGAGCTGGGGGTGAGACTGGGGACCAGGTCTGAAGGAACAGAAAGAGAGGTGAAGATCTGCGGTCAGCCTACCTGGTTCTCTGGGAGGAGTGGCCTGAGGGAATTTTTTATTTTTATTTTTATTTTTTGGTTTTTCAAGACAGGGTTTCTCTGTGTCGCCCTGACTGTCTTAGAGCTTGCTCTGTAGGCCAGGCTGGCTCAAACTCAGGAAATCCACCCGCCTCTGCTTCCCAAATGCTGGAATTAAAAGTGTGTGCCACCATGCCCAGCTGGGATATTTTTTAATCTAATGTGCTTTATTATATACTGCCTGTGTGTACGTGTGAGAGAGAGGTGGGGTGGTGCACCTGTGGACATATCAGTCAGAAGTTCATCAGGTGTCTATTTAATCGCTTTTTTTTGAGACAAGGTCTCTCAGTGAACCCAGAGCTCAGCAATTTGACTAGATGGACTGATCAGCAAGTCCCAAGGATTCTCTTTGCCTCCAGAGTGCTGGGACTGGAGGTGTGTGTGCTGTGTCTGGCTCTTAGCTGAGTGCTAGACCAAATTCAGATCCTCACACATACACACTCTACCACACCCCCAGCCCAACTTTGCCCTTTTTTGTTTATTACAGCTAATTTGTTAGTAATTTTTTAATTTTATATTTAACTTTTTTTAAGTAATAAGGAGCAGCTATTAAAATACAAGGAAAACAAATTGTAGGATATAATTGTGACTCATAGTTTGGGCTGTAAGTATTTATTAAAAACAAAGAGCATTACATGATCATAATAGCCACATTCTCCTATGTAAAGATTATAATTAAATACCAGCATATTGTTACATGCCACAAGCATTCACAATGAATGTATCCATAAACATTTCATTTACATTTTTGCTTTCTTCTTTTATGAGTATGGTGTCTTTCCCATTCTTCTCTTTCTGTCATCTTGACTGAGTTTTTATCCTTACATCTTTTTAATGTATATGAGCTTCTACTCCAAACTCCTCAATGCCATGAATTTTCAACATCCAAATACTTTGCATGGGGCTGTCATGAATCTACTGAGGCCGATTGCCTTCCTTGATACTTTTCAGTACCATCATCTGCTTTTCCTGCTCCTTCTTGCCCAGGGCTACTGAGTTCTTCCCTGTGTACTTTCACCACATCCCAGATACGTCAGTGTGTGATTTCTTGGCCATGTGAACACTCTTCGTACTGTAGGCCTGGTGTCTTCTTTTATAATCTCTCACTTCTGCCAGGATTTCCCCGTGAGATTTTGGACGTTTTCAGATTGCCTTGACTGACTTTATCAGTCGAGTCTACAAAGATCACTGTCATTTTCAATGACTTGAGAACCAGACCATGTTTTCTTTGTCCCTTCAATGACAAAATCACCAATGGCATGATGATCTGCTTGGGTGAGGTCACAAGCAGACTGTTCATGATTCAGAGGAACTTCAACAGGTACTGAGGAATACATTACTTAATTATTTGATTATAAGAATCACCATGTAGCCAGGTGGTGGTGGTGCACACTTTTTTTTTAATCTGTGAAATAGATTCTTATTTAATGAAAGACAGTCACTTTTTTTTATCTGCCCTACATTTCTATTCAAAGTGTTAATTGTCAGTTTCTTTTTTTCAGGTTTTTTTCTTTTTTCTTTTTAAAGAAATTTTCTACTCATTCCACATACCACCCACAAATCCCCCCTCCTCCCTCCTCCCTCCTCCCACCCCCTAGCCTTCTTTCCCAAGCCACCCCGCATCCCCACATCCCCCAAATCAAGGTCTCCCATGGGGAGTCAGCAGAGCCCAGCACACTGAGCCTAGGCAGGTCCAAGCCCCTCCCTACTGCACCAAGGCTGTGCAAGGTGTCACACCACAGGCACCGGATGCCCAGAAGCCTGCCCATGTACCAGGGACAGATCCTGATCCCCCTGCCTGAGTGCCCCCCAAACAGTTCAAACCAAATAACCATCTTCTGTATCCATAGGGCCTAGTCCAGTCCCATGGGGGCTGGTGGCGCACACTTTTAATCCCAGCACTTGGGAGGCAGAGGCAGGCAGATCTCTGTGAGTTTGTAGGCCAGCCTGGGCTACAGAGTGAGTTCCAGGAAAGGCGCCAAAGCTGCACAGAGAAACCCTGTTTCAAAAAAACAAACAAAAACAACAAAACCATGTTTTCTGATTAGAGTTCTAGCTTACTTATTTATCTGGGCTTGTGACTCCTTATCCAACCAAAGGAGTCTTCACATTCTTGTAGAGAAAACCAGTATGGCACATTTCATCCTCTTCTTGTGTATAGCCCAGTCCTATACAGTTCCAAGTGCTTTGCTAAAGATGATTTAGGCATGTGTTGTCTGAAATCAGAGGGCAAATCACAATTTCATCGTCTGCCACCTGCTCATTCCCTGGGGTCCAGGTGACCCAAGCTCCCCCCCCCCCCAGGGGTGTTATCGTTCCCTCCACTGTCTGCGGCTCTCCATCAACTGATCTCATCCTGTAACCACTGCTGTTTCTCTCACCAAACCAGCTCAGCTGCCATGGCTGGAGCCCAACTCATGGCGGAAGTCTGTTTCCAAATTTTTTAGTTCCACTCTTACATATCTGCTTCATAATGGTTTTTCTTTGGTTTGAATCTTGCTCAGTTTTAGGATTGCTCTGTATCTTTCTCCACACAGGATCTGATTAGACAACTCTTACTAGTTTTTCAATGCCCACCTCATATACGTTCCTTCTCCTATTTATTTTCCTTTTCCTACCTTCCATATCCCCTCTTACTTGATCATAATAACTGTCTTAGTTAGGGTTTCTATTGCTGTGAAGAGACATCATGGCCATGGCAACTCAGTGATTGAGTTAGGAATCCAAGATTGGTTTGGCTTTAGAAAACTGATGGATGTCGTCCATTAGAGTATTAGAGGATAAAACGTCAAGAGAGAAGGAAGTAGTACGATGATACAACAGGGAAACTCCAGAGTAAATTAACTAGAGATGTGCAAGATTCTACAGGGAAAACACAGCAAAGAAAATCCATCTAGTAGAGAAATATTCAAGTATCTAAAATCAATAGTAGTGCTTCCTAAGCTTTCATGTTGTCATATGTTTGGGTTCCACATGCGAGAGAAAGCATGAGGTGTGTGTGTGCGCGCGCATGCGTGCGTGCACGCACACAATTTGATTTACTATGGTGTTGTCTGGTTCCATTCATTTTCCTGCGCATGCGCTTTTTCTTCTTTGTGGGTTAACAACACTCCATTGTGTATCTGCGCTGCGTTTCCTCTCTCCATTCAACTGTTGATGGGCAGACACCAGTCTGATTTTTCTGTGATGAATTTTGCTATAGTGAATAGTGCTAGAATAAACATGGGTGTATGTTTTCTGTTATATGCTGACCTAGGTTCCTTCTATAGATAAGAAGAACTGAAAATGGACAATAACTATATGAAAAAAAAATGTTCAGTATCTTCAACCACCAGAGAAATGCAGATCAAAGTAGATCGAGGGCCAGCAAAGTGGTTACAAGATAAAAAGCAGTTGCCACACTAGCCGGACAACCTGAACTTGGTCTCCAGATCCACCGTGGAGAGAAAGAATAGATTCATGGAAGTTGTCTTCTGACCTCCACATGCACACACACGCCTTATGCATACAATAATAACAAATAAAACAAATTTTAAAAAGAAAAATACCTACAGTGAGATTCCCTCTCACCCGAGTCAGAATGGCTGCCCCCAAGAAAACAATTAAAAACTCAGCAAATGCTAGCAAAGACTTGGGGTGGAGCGGTAACTACATGTTGTTGGTGGGAACATAAATCAATGTAAACTATAGAAATTAGTATACGGGTTCCTCCAAAGAAATTCAGGCTGGGTATGATGATGCATTCTTTAATTCCTGGACACAGGAAGCAGGCAGATCTCTGAGTCTGAGACCAGCCTGGTCTACAGGGCAAGTTCCAGAACAATCAGGGATACACAGAGAAATCCTGTCTTGAAAAGAAGAAGGACTTACTTAAGTATATGACAATGCTCACCATAGGTCAGAAATGTGGAAACTTCTAAAGCACAGGTATACATGACTAGACTGGCACAAAATGGTGAAGCTCACTTGTTAGTGATGATGTGGAGAAGTATAAATTCTTACCCATGGCTAGCGTAAATAGAAATTAATATAACAGACTAACTCAATAACACAAAGATTGCAGCTAGAGATATGCCCTATATACTTGGATGATAAGCAAATATGATATAGTGGAATATTTTATTGAAATAAAAATGAAGGGATTGAACTGTAGTTATATATAAACATAGAGCAATCAAGAGACATAAAAATACATATGATTTATGAGCAGTTATACCATTTTTAAAGATTCTTCTTTTCTATAGTATTTACTGATTCACAAAAGAATGGATTTCAGTTTGACATCTTCACACACGCATATAACATCCTTGGATCACATTCACCTCCCAAATTATACAAACTGAATTATAAATAATCACTCACAGCTAGACTTCTGCTGCAGGTGAGCTGGGTAGTCTACCAGTGAGGATAACCAGAAACGTCCAAAATAAGTTTTGAAGTGTTGAAAGACTTTTGGAACTCTCCCAAAGCAGCAAGGACTTGGCTAGGAATCGGAAGAGGGAATCCAGAGACTTGAGCCCAAAGTGAAGTGCTTTCGGTCTTCGGGCATCTGCTAACTTGGAAAAGGCAGTTGAGGCTCAGTGATAGCAAGCAGAAAACGGCAGCCTAGGATGCTGGCACTGGGCAGAGGCCATCGGACACGCCTGGAGGTCGGAGCCCACAGAGAGGAGGCTGGAGCAAGTCGGCAGGCTGCTGGGTAAAATCCCAGAAGTGAGTCAGGAATAAGGGCAGATAAGCCTGGATGCCGTTTCAGTCATCTCAATATTTAATCAAATTAAATTGACCAGTCCCAGTTGAAGTGGCTGGCAGGCAGTATATTCTCCCTAGACAATAAAATCAGTCAAAGCCTGAAATTACCCCTACAATTTTTATATATGATACCTAGAACCTAATCAAACTAATCAGCAAATGGGAAAGGTGATAGGAATTCCAACCACACCCGCATGGTCTCACATGCCTTGCGGGACACTTAGTCATTTCCGGGTCATACGTCCTACATAACCCATGTCTCATGGTTGTGTGGTCATGTAATCGCCCGGGTGTGACCATGTGATCAATGCGAATGCGTGGAATAGCCAAGTGGGCCTGTGTGCGCAGGTGCGAGCTGGCCCTTAAAAGACAGGCCCCGCGTTCCCCCACCCCCTACCTCTTCACACACGTGTCCTTCCGCAGGCCTGATCACATCTGTCCCTTTCTCCTTGTCTTAATAAAACTCTTGTTAGTGGATTCTGTCGTGTTTCATGACTTCCTCACAGGGTAAGAACGCTGAAAAAAAAAATCAAAGGGGACCATTAGATCATGTTAATGTACAAAATAATGGGTTTTGTTACAGCATTTCCAAACATGCATGTAATGGAAGAGATTACTACCAAAACCCTAGAGAAAAAACGAGCATCAAACAGGAACACACGCTCCAGCACCGTTACTGAGGGTATCCACATGGGCCTTCAGTCTACAGGTGGGCCGGTGAGATGGCTTGGCAGGTAAAGGCACGTGCTGCCACACCTGACCCCCTCACCCGACTTTGATCTCTGGAACCCACATGGGGAAGGGAGAGAACCAACTCCAGAGCCCGCCGTCCTCTGACCTCCACACCCGCGCCATGCCACATGAGCACATGGACAATAAACAGCATGAATTAAAAACGTGAGAAGACAAGACGGGGGATCTGGGAAGAAGGTCAGAAAAGACTTCCAAAAAATAAGAAGTCCAGAGTGACGGAAACCCCAGCGTCAGCCATGAGAAACCTCCTCTTGTGTTGTCTGTCAAGGAGTCCAGAGTCCCCAAACAATGCAGATGTTGTTGTTGCCCTGGGTGCCTCCCAGATGTTGAAGGTAAATCCCCTGAGTACCTCCCAGATGTTGAAGGTAGATCCCTATGGGTAAAGAAGCCACATAGGTTGGGCCAGGACTCAGAGGACTTGAGCTGGACCTGACCTGAAACGGTCCTCCCTGCAGTCCGGCTTCCGTAGAACCGGAAGGGGTTATGCAAGCTGCAAAGGGCAGGAAGGAACGGTACTCCTACCTAGCTGTGAGGCCCCGGAGCCACCACAATGAACAGTGTGGCAAGCTAGTCCTAGATGTACAGCAGTGGCGCTTTTATCCCGATGGTAACCGACAGCTGTTTAATTGGATTTATCACCCGCTCCACAGCAGGGAAGTCATGCCCGGTAATGGACACTTAGACGACTTCCTGGAGATGGTGAGGCTGTGGGTCTTAGAGGAGAACCTACAACCAACACGGTTGCAGGCTTTCTTCTGAGCCATCAACCAGCTCCCAAATCACCGCGTGGAGGCTTGTTATTAGTTTTGAATGCTCGGCCTTGGCTTAGCTCTTGTTTTAATATGTTTCTCTTTATCTATGTTTTTGCTACACGGATTCTGACCTTTCTTTCTTTTTGTGTATCTTACTTTCCTGTTTCCTCCATGTTTTCTCCCTCCTGTCCCTTCTCTTTTCTACCTCTTCTCTCTGCCAAGCAGCCCTGCCTGTCCCTCTACTGCCTAGCTATTGGCTGTTCAGCTTTTTATGAGACCAATCACGTACCTGAGGCAGGCAAGGTAAAACAGATGCAATGCATCTTTACACAATTAAACAAATGCAACATAAACAAATGTAACACATATTTATGTAAAGTAATATTGCACAACACCAACACTTTACTAAACCTACTTGATTCCTAACTGCACCGTAAATATTTCTCATACCCACAGATGAGTGTATCTGTTATCAAAGAGGATTCTCTTTGCCGTAGATTTAAACCACTACAAAATGATACATGTAGCAGGAATCTTAAAGAGTCTTATTAATAAAAAACAAACCTGGAGCCAGGTATTGGAGTGAATGCTGGAAGATCAGAGAAGCAGAAGAAGCCACGACCACCTCATTTTGCCAATTCCTCAGCTGATTGCGTTTCGTCAGACTGGAAGCCTCTGAGTCCTCATCCAGAATGAATCTCAGCTGAACTGCTGCTCAAAGCCTATGAGCTTAACCATCCAAAAAGCTTCTAGTTTCTGGTCCTCACGCCTTATATACCTTTCTGCTTTTTGCCATCACTCCCTGGGATTAAAGGCTCGCTTTCTAGGATTAAAGGCATGAGTCACCATGCCTGGCTGTTTCCATTGTGGCTTTGAACTCACAGAGATCCACATGGGTCTCTGCCTCCCAAGTGATAGGATTAAAGGCATGTGTGTCACTATTTTCTGGCCTCTATGTCTATCTAGTGGCTGTTCTGTCCTCTGACCCTAGATAAGTTTATTAGGGTGCACAATATTTTGGGGAACACAATATCACCACATTTATTACATCTGGTCCAAATGCATGAAGGTCATGGGGTCCCCAGCCTCAGTGGATACACCTATCACACAGCCCTGAACCTAAGGCTCAGGGAACGTGGAAGAAGAGAGTGGAGTCTGCTGTGAGCTTGTGTCTCCTAGAAATGACAGAGAAGCCACACTCAAGACACTGTAACACTGCGGCTGTGTAAATGAGACCTGGACAATGGCCGTCAGGAGCCTGTCAACATGGAGGGGGGATCTCATGGGGCCACCTCTAGACAAAGAACAGCTGCATTTTAAAATTGGCGGGGAGAGGCCACGGGGAGTGGAGCCAAGGTGCCCCATGGCGGGTAAGAGACAGAGACAAGCCATTCACACACTGCTCATGTAGACAGTGCTCACGCAGATGGTGCTCACACAGACGGTGCTCAAGCAGACGGTGCGGTGCTCACGCAGACGGCGCTCACGCAGAAGATGCTCATGTAGACAGTGCTCATGAAGACTGCTCAGTAGACAGTGAAGGAAGGGAGAAGGGAAGGAAGCTCAGAACTGTCTCATGGGGGGAGGAGTGGGGAGAGAGCACAAGCCGGCAGGGGAGATGAGTAGTGAAGAAGAGAAAAGAGAAGGCAGGCAAGGCCCCATCTTTACGAGGGGACTTTGCACATGCGCAGAGAGACCACATCGTGATGAGTGCGTGGCGTTGTCAGGACCCTGAGTTGGCCAAGGTATTGCGGGCGTACTGGCCAGGTCCCCAGGGGCCTGTGAGGAAAGTGTGAGTCCTGTGTCGGACACCGCACGAAGGTGTGCTGCAGCACTGTAATTACAAGCTGGAACAGAGGGAGAGGGAGCAGGACAGAAGAGACCGGAGCTCGGGAGCTTCCGAGACCCGCAGAGGGCTGGGAAGGGCTCACACGGCCTTGTGAGAGAGCTGAAACCCAAACGGAATGGTAACAGTTGGCATGCGACATCAGAAACCGGAAAAACTAAGTTATGTTGGTCAGGAATGCGGAGGAATAGGGAAGGTGTACAATTTCAAGTCAATTTGTTTTTAATTTTTTAAAAATATTTTATTTATTATTATTATTATTATGAGAGAGAGAGAGAGAAAGAGAG